CCTTGAGGCTTCCTCCAACTGCTCCATCCATATTTCATGCCATAAAATAGCAACGCGAATCAACTCTTGACTAACAAGCAGTGCCTATATAGATTAATCTTTTTAGAATACAAATTTACTTTTTATTAATTCATTATCTTCATTATTATATATATTTACCTGTTCAACAAGTACTGGACTATGTGAGCGCAGTTTATCCATAACTGCCAAAGCTGCCTTCTTTCTATTTGAACTTTGAGATTTTGATGCAACAGTAAGTGGATAAATTAAAGCTTGAGGATGTTCCTTACCAACTTCTGTAAGTAACTGATGTATTAACCGTCTAATATTTGTATTAGACACATGAATACGTGCAATAAGCTATATAAAATAAATTGTAAAATTAAGAATTTTTATATGATAACCAAAAATTAAATTTTCACAAATATTTATTAAAAATGAAATCGATTTATACCTGTGGAATAACATCCAACCAAGTATCTATGTTGACACTACTAAATCCTTCACTTATTGCCGTGCTAACCTCGTGATGATATCCATACTTAAACCACAGAGTTAACAATCTTAATGTGTCTTGTAGGCAATTACCTCTTGACAACGCGATCGAACAAAAGAATCCTAAAAAAAAAATATGTTTAATGGCTAAAAGAATATTTTCTTTTAATAAACACGCATCCTAAACGTATTATTTATTACCTTGCACAGATGGCACAACATAACGTAAAATTTCTTGTTGAATTTCTGAATTGATCATTTCCTCAGAAAATTCAACAATTTCTTCATCTGATTTATTATTTTCCAAAGCATTAAGTTTTTCGTAATGTGAAATCACTTCAAAATTAGCAAGAGCCAATGCATGCCATGCTTTATACCACTCTTTATCATATTGTGTTGCATGTAAATAAGATTGTAGAATCTCTGGAATTGTATCCTAATATATTAAATAGATCATTATTATTCATGTAAAAAAACGCTAGTTGTGAAGTTTTTTGAGACTTAAACGTAAAAAAAACATACTCGTTCCCAATCATCCTGAAGAGTCTTTTGCCATTCACCTTTTTTAAGGTAACATCTAGCAAGCAAGCTTGTGTTACCAACGTGAAGATCGTCTGATATCCTGTCAGTAAAATCTCTTAATAATTTGAATGCATCGTGGCGTTCACCTTTTGCCCACATAAATTTCAATTGTGCATAAACAACTTGAGGAGCTGCTCTTTTTAACACCTTTTTTTTTAAAAAATTTAAAATGCTATTATTACCATAAGCACAATATATATTATAGGATAATTTCATTAATTAGAAAATTTACCGATGGATGAATTGCTTCTAGTTTTTGATCACCGACTAGCAACTGTCTCAATGTTTTCTCAGCAAGTTCTAAACTATCACTCTTTCTACATAGATTAGCAAATTTAATCCACATCTCCATATTTTCTTTTGGTGATATGACTAATGCTCGAACTTTTAAAATTTTTTGCCATACATCTACATCACGTTGACATCCCTTCAACCTTCAAATGAATTTGATAAGTAATAATTCAAATATATATTAATTAAATAAAAAATTACAATTAAAATTTACCTTTCCATCCAAGTTTTCCTAATAGTTGCTTGTCTATCAGGTTGATCTGAAAATTGTTTATATGTTATGATTTCTTCCAATTCTGATAACATTTGAACGCGTACAACAACACTAAAATAACAATAATAAATAAACATGTTTTATAGAGACTCTAAATATGTAAGTAAATATATACCTGTATGCTCTGTTATAACTTTCACCAACAAGAGCAGTCAACTCTGTATCTAACAGATCACGAGTTTTATTAATGTTAACTGCTGCATCATTATATAGATTTTTATGTAAAGCAAGGATTGCTTGGTAGAATGTACGATCTGGTGAATCTTCTTTTATAGTTGAGACATAATCTTCCATTAAACCCCATTGACCTAATGCCCAAGCTCCAGCAGCAGCATAGATTGACATGGATTCACGCATTTCATATGTTGATTCGGGCCATTTTTCTTGAACTAAAGCAGATAAACCATCCGTGTTGCCCAAAGAAAGCATACATCTCATCAAACCAAGCGTTGCTTTAAAATCATTTGGATCCTCCTTACTTCTTTTTTGATG